TTACAATATTGCATTTCATGTATTTAATACATAAATAATGTATGTTGATCGCTTTATTTTTTCAAATCAAGTCTGAAGCGCCAATCAATTCTTTGCATATAGAACAAGGTCTTTTTATTCCCAATTATCCGTGTCACTGCGCTTGGTGTATCAAAAAAATATGTACTTTCAATAATGACAACACCAGGGCGGCCCCTCCGAAGATCGGTTGATGGTCATTGTCATTGCTGCAGCATATAATAACGATTTTTAATGGCTGTTCTGTGTAAATAAGCTGCAGATTGGCCTACATTATGTAACACATGATATAATTTGATCAGAATTATATGCTATGGCAATGATATTGATCATTAATCTGAACTTTGGGGGCCGCCCTGATTTTGTCACCAATAATTAAGGTTCGAACTTACCTGGTACAATTCTTTGTTTAGTTCTATATTATTAAATTTCTTGGTTTATTAGTAGTATTCATTGTTATTATAATGCTTACAGATATGCAAGAAATTTGATCTCACACACAGATGATCGTAAACGAATCGTGGAAATCGCAAAAAATATGGCATATGTAATACAAGGGAAAATGAAAATTGGTGAGTTAATATAAAAGAGCTAGAACGTTGATTGAATGCTTTACGAAAAATGATTGTTCAGTGCGCGATACTTAAAAGTTACACTGGCCTCAAAAGTGATCTAAAAAAAGATATTAAAAAAAGGAAGCTGCTAATTTGTAGCTAAATCAATTTACTACAATTTAGTGGATCAAACAAAATGCAAGAAATATAACAATCAAAATTAAAAAACTAAAATCAATTTTAATTAATTTAAAAATAGTTAAAATGTAGTTTTAAAGTGTCATGCAATGTAAAATAGAATCCTTTTTTTTTTAAAAAAAAAAATAATATAATCACCTGGCATTCTAAATTAAAATAAATTTCCTAAACCCAAAGTCTACACTATAATACCTTTTTAGATTTTATCTACACATTTATTTATTAGTGTTGCAATATTATCTCTGAATTGATACACATTAAAGGGAAAATATTGAAAATGTAAACAAACCAAAGAGCAGTTTTTGAACATATTCACTTTATATGAATTGAGATAAATGTATTAGAACATTGAAATGTTGGTCGAAACTTTTAGATAAACAAAGACTTCAATACGACACGTTAAAATCTTTATATTGTAAGAATATCATGTAGTGAAAATGATCTCGTGAGTTTGTGACAGGATGTATTATGATTGGTTAAATCCTGATTTAACATTAATCAGATTTGTACCATTACTTCCTCTTTACAAAACACGAAAGTTAGATATCACACCCTTAAGTATGCTATGTGCGTTAGAGTTTTCTGTCACATTCAGCACACTCCAATTACGAATTTGACGGTACATACACACGTACGTAATGTCGTACGTGCATGCGTACGGATTCTGTGCCAGGTATGGCAGTCAAAACGTTCTTTAAAAGCTCATTGATATTTGGTTAGCATTTATATTAAAGTTAGATATTATTCAATTATTTAGTAAAATCGCTTAAGGGAAACCCTTTGTTAGAGCATTAAAAGTAATTTTTTATGCAGGTTTTCGATTTTTGACAAGATGTTTTTGTTTTGAATCTTCCTGATTGTGTTACATTACGCCTGATCCTGAAATCTGATTTGTGGTTCAATAAATCTGCGCCATAAACCGGGCACAAAATCCATATGGTTGTCGCCCGACATCACATAGGGTTAGGGTTAGCGTTCGGTTAGTTGCGAGTATATATTTTTAGCAAATTGTCACGCCGCGTGATGTCGAGTCAGGGAAATAACTTTCAGGGAATTGTACCGTAACCATCCATACGTATTGGAATAACGTAAAACACAGAATTAAGTTAGTATAGAGTTCTACACTTACCATCCATATAGTTTTTATTATTAGTAACATAGAAATTATTAAGGGTCCGAAGATTGGTCTATAAAATAATCCAAAATCGGGAAAAAATAATCTCTTTTAAACAACCAATCGGATTGCGTAATTTTTATTCTATCAAGATTCTTATTCGTGAAGTAAATATAATCCGAGTTCTACTTAAAAAACTACTCCAGTGGCACCGACGGATTTTCACTGAAAAATCAGAACTTATCAAAACAACGAAACCATAAAACACTACGTTAGGGTCAGGTTTACAGCTATTTTGCGACTTGTCTTATACCTAAATTTTGCAAGGAATTTTTTTTTTACTAGTGCGCAGAAGGTAGTTACACCTGATCTTGTAATCTAATTGGTCAATTCGATGACGATCAGTGAAAATCTGTCGGTGTCACTGGGGTACTTGACAGAAAATTGGGCCTGAGCGTGCAGCGCAAATATATTCCGAGTGTGCATGAAGATCATATCCGTTTTCTAAAAGGAAATGTGACTAATCACGAACGTTAACGAGATCATTCGAGTTGACATGCAGTCAACAGATCGAAAGTATGATACGAAAGCTCTCTGGACTAAAGTTTGGAACCGGTTTTATTTTTCATATGTTAAAACCGGTTAAACCCGGTTTTAACATATGAAAAATAAGACCGGCTCCAAACCCTACTCTGGACACATGAGCTATAGGTATAACTAAACCACTAGCAACTCAAATTCCGGAGCAATGCAAGGAACAAATTAAAGTTCAAGCATGACTTTTCCGTATTTGGCACCTATGAGGTAATCAAACAAGATTCGATCTAAGTATAGTTAAATGCATCTAATCAAATTGCCAAACTTCCATTTGTGACCTTGTCCCACATTATTAACAAGCTATACGTATAGTAATGGCATAATTATTCTAATAACTCACATGCTTAGTAATAATAATTATTAAATATACAAACATAGTGCAGATCACATAGTGAAAATAATTGAATTTTTTTATAGATCAACGAGTATCCCTTAATCCGTATTCGGGGCAAATTTGCCCGAATTTCTGATTCCCGGCAAATTTTTCACACTACCATTAAAAGTTACTAAAAGTACCCCC